GGAGCTACCCAGGTAAGGAGAGGTTAGCAGCCGGGAGAGGAGGCCGACAGACTATAAGCTAACTACCAGAAGGGTGCTAGCAGAGCCTCCTCAAAAAGAAATGGGGGTGGGAGTAGGGAGAGAGAGAGTTCAGTCACAAAGTTAATTAACGCATTATATTTTTAACAAGCGTCATCAGCATGAAAGCATGTCCTCTGGAATGATGGCCGAGGCATGAAGGGGCATATGCAGGGTGGGGTGGGGCCTTGGGGGAAGGGGTGGGGTGAGGTGGGGGTGGAGCCTGGGTGGAGCCAGGTAGAGCACTCTCTGGCAGATTAAAAACTCAGCGTCTATGACGTTTCCACATTTTCAAAATGAAACTTTCTTTTTTTTAGTTCCAAGCAACGTCTCATTTTGAAATGTTCATGAATTTATAGAAAAAATGTAAAATTTATTTTTAAAAGGTCAAAATTGGAATCAAGTATCAGGGGGTAGCCGTGTTAGTCTGTATCCACAAAAACAAGAAGGAGTCCGGTGGCACCTTAAAGACTAACAGATTTATTTGGGCATAAGCTTTCGTGGGTAAAAAACCACTTCTTCAGATGCAACGCTTCTAAATTATCAAAGCAAAATGTTCTGATTGACTGAATGGCTCAATATTTTTTTGGATTATCCCATGAATTTTTGATATTTTGACTTTTTAACCTGATTCGAGATCAAGATGTGGAAAAAATTTCAAAATACCAGACCCTTGCAGGACAGTTTCCCACCCAGCTCTAGCTGTGATTAGGGTTACCATATTTCAACAATCAAAAAAGAGGACGGTGGGAGCCCCGCCCTAGCCCCGCCCCTGCCCCTCCCACTTCCCACCCCCTGACTGCCCCCCTCAGAACCTCCAACCCCCCCTAGGCTCCTTGTCCCCTGACTGCCCCCTCCTGGGACCCCACCCCCTACCTAAGCCTCCCTGCTCCTTGTCCCCTGACTGCCCCCTCCTGAGACCCACCCATCCTAACTGCCCCCCAGGACCCTACCCCCTACCTGTGCCCTGACTGCCCAAAACCTTATCCACACCCCCACCCCCTGACAGACCCCCGGGACTCCCACACCCCATCCAACCACTCCCCGCCCCCTGACAGACCCCCTCCCCAGAACTCCCGACACATCTAAACCCCCCTGCTCCCTGACCGCTCCGATCCCTCTCCCCACCCCTGCCCCCTGACAGCCCCCCCAGAACTCCCAACCCCCCTGCTCCTTGTCCCCTGACTGCCCCCTCCTGAGACCCTCCATCCTAACTGCCCCCCTAGGACCCTACCCCCTACCTGTCCCCTGACTGCCCAAAACCTTATCCACACCCCCCCCGCCCAGAACTCCTGACCCATCCAACCCTCCCCCTGCTCCCTGTCTCTTGACTGCTCCCTCCAGAACCCCCCTGCCCCTTCTCCGACCCCCTGGCCCCCTTACTGTGCCGCTCAGATAGCCTGGTTCCCGCCCTCGCAGAGTGCTGCAGAGCGGCGCGCTGGGCAGCAGGGGAGGAGGAGCAGGGGGAGGAGCTCCAGACTGCTGGAGGCCTGATGCGAATGGCCGGCGATCTGCGAATCCAGGGAGGGGGGAGAGTGAGGAGGGGAGTGATCTGAAGCTGCAGGGGAGAGGAGGGGGGAAGCGGAGGAGGGGCTCTGGCTGCCGGAGTCCCGTGCGAGTGGCTCAATCCGACTGGCTGCCCTGTCAGCCATGCCGCGCTCTGCATGGGGGGCGGGGGGGGGGGAGAAATCCGGACATTTAAAAATTCCCCCCGGACGCTATTTTTAAACTCAAAAAGCCGGACATGTCCGGTAGAATCCAGATGAATGGTAACCCTAGCTGTGATCCCACTGGCTTTCAGCTCAGCGCTGCTTTATTGCCATAACAAGCGAGAGGAGTGTTGCCAAAGTGAGAAAGCTAAGCTACTAGTCTGCATTTTAACCCCTTTCATGGCCTAACCCCACCCTACCTATCACCTCTTATAATGTATCAAGGTATCACATCCACACCAAGTCCATCCTCTTTCCAGAAATGATGGCAGTCTTAAATGTTCATTTAAACTTTTTCCCCCCACAAGCATCTTTGAGCATTCTCCAAGCATTTTCTCCTTCCAAGCCTTCCTTAAAATTCTTCTCTGCTGGGATGCTCATAAAAAGCGTGATGGGATGAGGCTACTGATTTGAAATGATCAGTTTTTCATGCTAATCAGTATCATCTCATCGTTTGCTTGTGCTCCCCTCACCAGACAGCTGTTTATTTGATCACCTGCTGTCTAGTGTCTTGGTCTGTAAGCTCTTTGGAGCAGGGACTGTCTCCTTGTTAGATGTTTGTACAGCACCAGCAAAATGGTTGGGGCCTCCAAATGCTATTGCAAGACACCTAATAATCATGAATTAATTAAAGAGGGTTAGGCAGAGGTGTTGGGCTGTAGTCAGAGGTGCTCTCTCCTATGACTCAGCTGGAAGCCAAGGCTCCAGCGTGGTGTGAGGAGGGTGCGGTGCAGATGCAGCTTTGTAGATGAGACATACAATTGCAGCACCGAGCAGTTGTGGTTATGGAAAAGCCCCTGCTATTTTGGCAAGTTGTGATGAATTATTCATGTTCATAGTTCACCTGGCTCCAGCAGCGTCTATGCCAAGGCCTTAAAAAATCTTTACTGGCACGTACATACTGAGCCTCAGAACCCCACTGGGAAGCCCCACCCCTCCCTTGGAAAATCTAATGGGAATAGAACCAAGGGGTCCTGACCCCCACCTTTCCACTGCTCTAACCACTAGACTACACCTCCTCCTAGAGCCAGGATAGAACCCGGGGTCCTGGCTCCCAGCTCTAACTGCTAGACCAGGGATCGGCAACCTTTGGCACGCGGCTCGCCAGGGTAAGCCCCATGGCAGGCCGGGCCGATTTGTTTACCTGCCGCGTCCGCAGGTTTGGCCGATCGCGGCTCCCACTGGCCGCGGTTCGCCGCTCCAGGCCAAAGGAGGCGGCGGGAAGCGGCAGCCAGCACATCCTTTGGCCCACGCTGCTTCCTGCAGCCCCCATTGGCCTGGAGCGGCGAACCGTGGCCAGTGGGAGCTGCGATCGGCCGAACCTGCGGACGCGGCAGGTAAACAAACCGGCCCGCCCGGCAAGCCGCGTGCCGAACGTTGCTGATCCGTGCTAGACCATCCCCCTCCAATCCCCCCAGAGCTGGGCCTAGAACCTGGAGTCGTGGCTCCAACTGCTAGACCCAACTCCAACTCCCCGCAATTGCTCCCAGAGCTGGGCCTAGAACCTGGAGTCATGGCTCCAACTGCTAGACCACTCCTCCCCGCAATTGCTCCCAGAGCTGGGCCTAGAACCCAGGAGTCCTGGCTCCCAGGTCCAGCCTTTCTATTGTCTTAGGGCAGAGGTTCTCAAACTTCATTGCACCGTGACCCCCTTCTGAAAACAAAAATGACTGCGCCACTGCAGAGAGGGGGCTGACGCCTGAGACCCCAACACCCCAACACCACCCAGGGCTGTGGGGCTCAGGCTTCAGCCCTTGGCGACCCCATTAGAATGGGGTCACGACCCACAGTTTGAGAACCACTGCCTTAGGGATTTTGCCAGTCTCTGCCCCATGTTGCAGCAGGGCTGCTATACCCCACCCAACAGGTGGCTGCAAGGTAAAGGTCCTAGAGCATGCTGGGAATTGTAGTTCCAGCCAATGATCTCCAGGAAGGGGAAGCCTCTGTGGCTAGGCATCATGGGAAAGATAGGGCTAGCCCCTCGGGCTGATGGGAAATGTCGTTTCTAGCGCTAGGCATCATAGGAAATGGAGTTCCAGCCCGAGGCAGCCTGGGAAACGCTACCATTGGTGCGTTTCCCTGTCAGCCTCAAGGCCTGTGGGCGGGGATAACTGACGTCGCGCTTTTATTGGTTGACCTTCCCGGCAGGGGGCGGGTGCAATTGACGAGGTGGGCGATGATTCGCGCGAGGCGGGGTCGCGGCGCGCCGATTGGCGGACCCGGAGGCAGGCGGGGGGGCGGAGTCGGAGTGGCCGGAACGGGACGAGGCGGGGCGGCGCGGCCAGCCGGTGCCCAGGGATGTTCGGCCGGAGTCGGGGGCGGCCCGGGGCCTCGGGGGGGCTGGGGCGGCTCCTCCCGCTGCTGCTGCTGCTCGGGGGCGCCGCGGGCCGGATCCACCGCCTGGTGCTGACGGTGAGCGCGGCCTGGGGAAACCGGACCGGACCCCCCCCCGCCCAGGGACCGGACCGGACCGGACCTTCCCCATTCCCAGGGACCGGACCGGACCCTCCCCCAGCCCAGGGATCGGACCGGACCGGACCCTCCCCCCGCCCAGGGATCGGACCGGACCCTCCCCATTCCCAGGGATCGGACCGGACCCGACCCTCCCCATTCCCAGGGATCGGTCCGGTCCCTTCCCCCGCCCAGGGATCGAACCGGACCTTCCCCACTTCCCAGGGATCGGTCCGGACCGGACACTCCCCTTCCAGGATCTAACCGGACCGGACCGGACACTCCCCTTCCAGGATCTAACCGGACCGGACCGGACCCTCCCCCCGGGTACTGGCACCGACCCCTCCCACCCCCTGGGAAAGGACTGACACCCCCCCCCACCCGGGATGAGACCAACTTCTGAGCTGGGAACCCCCTCCCCTGGGACAGGACTGGACCCCCCTCGGGTGGGGGATCATAATCCCAGGATGGGACTCCCTGGTCCTCAGCACTTGACCAACCCCATCCAACCCTGAGATGGGACCGACCTGCCTGGGCTTTGGGGACTCCCCACAACCCGCAGCTGGCATGGGACTGATTCCCCCCTCCCCCCCGGCTTTGAGCTGCTTGCTTTCCCCTCCCCCCCACTCTGGGGCCTTCCCTGCATGATCCTCCTAAAAACCCCTGCTAATTCCCCCTCCCCCTTGCTGGGGCTTGAACTACCCTTCGGAACACCCCCGGGAATCTCCCTGAGTCCGTCCTCCCTCCCTCCCTCCCTCACTTCCCTCGCCTTCCCCAGCCCAGGGCGAGGACCCACCAGTTCTCCCCAGCACCTCGTGATCCCCCCAGCCTCCATCTCTCCCCTCCCTGCCTCAGTTACTCCTTCCCCATCATCCACCTGGGCCCTTCCACATCATCGCGCCTCCCCCCACTGCCACTCCTCCCCATGGTGCCTGGCCCTGACCACCTCCTCCCTTGGTGATCGCTAACGCAGCAGCTCCTGGACTTCCAGGTGGAAATGCTCTGAGAACGCAGCGGTGGGCGAGATGGGGATCTGGGTAGCTGGGGGCCCTTGTGTGGACAAGGCCATTGGTGTTTGGGGGATCACCAGATGAGGCCTGGGGGAAGTCCGGAGCGGATCTGAGTTTGCAAGGTGTTGAAACAATGTCACATGAAGATATAACAGGCTGATTGTCCAACGCCTGGGCTGTGGTTACTGTCAGGGCAGCCCAACGTTTCTGCTGTGTGGAAGCCCAGATAAGGAACAGGGGGTTGGACCCTCAGGCATGGGCAGCTGAGAAGGGTGTCAGCCAGGTTTTCCAAGCTTTCTGTTTCATTTCAGTATGCAGATAATGTTTATTTAGCAACTGAAACGCAAATAACGTGTGTTCACCGGGACACTAGATAACACAATTAAATGATCAAGTGAACTCATGGGCTACGTGGGGGGGTTGCTTTCTTTCCAAATCTTCTGGATGAAGACACTGTCCTGCTCTCACCTCATTCCCCCCGGCTGCCCCCCCCTTCTACCCCCCCCACCCCCCCCCCCCCCATCCCCTAAACCTGTTCTTCTCCCTCCACTGCTCCCTTTCCTCTCACACAACCCAGTCTGATCTCCTTGGGGCAGGAGATCTATTATTTTAATTACAAACAGAGCAGAGCTCAGGTCTAACATTCGTGTGCGCTTGGAGGGAGTGCTGGTGTCTGGGATTTGATTTGCCCCCTTAACAGAGATCGGCGCTGGCTAGGAAGCTTGGATCCAGGTGTGAGCTTACCTAGGGGCTGGGAGGAGTGCTCAGTTCTCAGGCTTTGATTTAGGCAGCGTCACAGCTGACTCCCTTCTCCAGAAGAAAAACATGGCTCAGATCCTGGGCTCAGTCCCGCTCTGAGCCTGTCTGGGGCTGAGCAATGAACTGGTTGAATCAGCTGTGTCAACGGGAGCAGCCCATCACTGCAGTTTGTGGGCTGGGTTAGATTTAGAGCAGTCCCCTCCCTACGGGTCACCATGTTGCCACGTCCCAGGTGACCCTGTGTGATGAAATGGCGCTTGGCTGATGCAGACACGTGATCTGGATCCCAAAACCGCTCATCTCACTCCTGCTCCAGCCTCTGCTCACCCTGCGCCTCTGGAGTCACTTCCTCTTCTGAAAGGGAAGCAATTCTGATGCTTCTGCAGCTTGCGAGATGAGATGAATCTGGCCAGCCAAGGGTGGAAGAGGCGTGCTGGGCCCCACCCGTGCCACTCATCTCTCTGGCTGGCTGCACCAGCGTGACTGAAAAGGACACCTCGAGGCTTGGCCCCCTGGGTGTAGGCTGCTGCGTGGGGCTGTCCCTTGTTTCCCATTCATGGGAGTGGCGAGGAGCCCTGCCTTGTGTTTTGCTGCTGTTGCTAGCCAGTCTAATGGGCTTGGTCGTATGATGGCTTCCTGCCTCGTCTATTTCAGGGCGAGAAGAGGGCTGACATCCATTTGAACACCTTCGGCTTCTACGCGAATGGCTCCCTGGAGGTGAACGTGAGCCGGCTGCATCTCGGCCTTGTCAGCGCCAAGCAGGACAAGCCTTGGGTAAACGCCGCGGCTCCTCTCAGGAGGACTCAGTCACATAGTAGTTCGTGGTGCGCGCCAGGGAGCGACCACCCTCCGCCCCCCTGTGATTCCCAAGGGGACAGCGGGTGTGGGTGTGAATGGCACCGTGCCAGGGTGCTTCACACCGGCGGGGCGCTCCTGCAATGAATCTAGCATTCTCACCACTGGGAGCAGAGATGGTTGGGTTGAGCTAAACTTCAGGCCTGAGACACCTGCTGTCCTGGGTTCAAATCAGGCAGAGGAAGAATGGCCCAGGTCCCTAGCCTACAACTGGGAGATCAGTGCTGTGCTCTGCCACCGACTTCCCGTGTGACCTTGGGCAAGTCACTTGGATGGAGAATAGAGGCCCAGAGAGATACTAAAAAAAAAAAAAAAGGACATTAATAGCACTTGGGAGGTTAAATACATGAAATATTGTGAGGTCGCGTGTGTGTGTTAGTGTGTGTGGGGGGGTCATTTAAGTACCTAAGACAGATCAGATCCCTGGCTTTAGCCTATACCCTCAGCCAGGCCAGCTGGGGGAAGGTTTTGTGTGTGGATGGGAGGGGGGTAGAGGCAACCACCCGAATAAGAGCCCAAGTTAACTCTGTGACTGCAGTGGAGCAGCCAGCAGAGCTCCCCCTCCAAGGGGCTGTCCATAAAATCCGTAATGCATTAGGGGCTGAGTGGGTCCTTAATTTGGCGGGTTTCAGTGTTCCAGGGGGTGGGTGGGTCTTAACACGTTTTTTGAGGTTGGTCAAGTAACTTACGGACAGCCCCCAATACTCAGTCCATCTGGTAAGAAATCCAAGTAGCCGGATACCTTCGTGCCTGCTGGAGTTGATCAGCGAGCTGGCCTGGAGGGCCGTAACTGTGTCATGGGGCATCTTCATGGGCTGTATGGGAGACACCGTGGCTGGCTGCCCCCCTGGCAGAGCTTCTGTGTCCTGCCCCACCTGAGCCTTCCCCATCTGCCAAAGGCTCAGGGATCTGCCCCTGGCTGGTGCAGAGAAGGGCTTGGTCATAACAGATGAATCCTTTTTCTTTCCAGGTTGGCTTCAGCTTGTCCAGGACGAGGATTCGCGAGGCCCTCTCGTACCCAGTGAGTTGCCATTCTCTGTGTGTGCGCGAACGCTTCAGAGTTTGTTTGGGAAGCGCTGGTGTTCTGGAGGGGGATTGTTTTCGGGGGGGGGGGGGGAGGCAGCGTGTGTGTGGAAGTCCTGCTCAATGGGTGATGTGTTGCTCTTGAGTGACCCCTTCTGGCCGATCCCTGAGCACTGCTGACTGGCTTCACCGCATGGAACCCAGACGGGTTCTCTAGGGCTAGGCTGTTGCAAAGGAATCCGGAAGGGGGAATGTCCGGAATCTGCCATCAGTTACCTCTGGGAGCCACTGGAAAGACTGATTCTAGGGGAAGTGAATGTGAATCAGTCCCTTGGAGAGGCAGCAGGGCCTAGTGGGTAGAGCTCTGGCCTAGACGTTGATAGGACCTCAGTTCTATTCCCAGCTGTGCCACTGATCTGTTGTGTTACATCCCCTCCTTCCCTGTGTCTTGGCTATTTAGATTGTAAGCTCTCTGAGGCAGGGACTGTCTCTTACTATGTACAGCATCTTGCGCGGCAGGGCCCTGATTTGGGGCCTACTGTAAATCCAGATGGTGGGAATTAAGAGAGCTTGTATACGTGTTTTTTGTCTGATCTGACTGGGGGGCAGTTTTCCTCTCTGCAGGGGAAGGAATCTCATAACTGCACCTTGGAACAAAACGGAGCGGAGTCGCGAATCCTCTTCCTCATTGACGTCAAACAGAACAAGCAAGTGAAATTCTGTCTGCGCTTATATATATTTCATTGGACTCCTCATCTGGCCTCCCGCTCAATCGACTGGAGCCATTAATGGCAAATTAGCCTAGTACCTAGACTCTTTCGGGTCCAGGGATCAGAGCAGCCCCTAGCAAATATGCAGCCAGCTTATGTTGTCAACAGCGCTGCCTGCAACCACCCCTGATATCAGGTGGTATGTGAGAACCGTGTGAGCCATGACTGGGATTAGAGAGGGAATAAATAAGGAGATGTGATAACGGTGTATAAATTAATGTGTAGACAGAAGATCAGTCAGGTGCTCTTATGTATCCTCGTGTAACAGGAGGTTACACAGTGAAATGGAAAAGGCAGCAGATAAATCAAACTGCTACTTTTGCTCTGAGCACTAGACCCTCCCAGCCCTCTCCCAGCTGGGAGTAGAACCCAGGAGTCCTGGCTGCCAGTTATAACCACACTAGCCCGCACATCCCTCTCCCAAAGCTAGGAACAGAACCCAGGAGTCCTGGCCCCCAGCGACCGACTAAATGATCCTTTGCATAACTGATCCCGCCCCCTCTCTCCAGAGGCGAACCCGTCTCCGTTGTGTCACGCCCCCTGTACTGACGCTCGGTTCTGTCCTTTCAGGGTTCAAGTGCGGAAGCTGGGAGAGCAGAAGAAGCTGCAGATTTATGCCGGTCTGCTCCCTGAGGTGCAGAATGGGGGCTCGGATCCGAAACCAGCCGACGATAGCAAGGACCAGGCTGCTGCCAATAAAGGTGAGGGAGACTGGACGCGGCTTAGACACCCAGGTCTTGCTGTCTCCTACTTGCCCGGAGTGAAGCAGCCTTCTCCATGCTGCTCGAGAAGGGGCTAGTTTTCTCCCTAACGAGAGCGCTGCAGTTAATTGCTTAACACGGCAGGCGCATCAGATCCCGCTAGCGTTGCCCCATGCTTTCAATATGTAATTCGGTGTGCTGCTGGGGTACCTTTGTTCCAAGGATCTCAAAGCACTAGGGGGAACATGGCCAGATTACAGATGTAGAGGGATCCCACTGCTTGAAATGCAGCCATCTCTGGGGTGGAATGTGGCAGCTATTTAATAGTCCACCCAGCACTAGCACTCATGTTTAGGACAGGACGTTGAGGCTACTTCATTCCAAGGAGGCAGGTCGTTATTGTCGGAGTTGGCCCAACAGATGGCTGGAGTTAATGTCAAGTATCCCATAATATGTGCTGTGTAATAATATTAGTTCTGTCCCAGTCACAGCTGCGATGGAGGCCCTATTGTGTTGGGTGTTGGTTTTTGGGGGAGCAGCGGATGCAAGGGTCTGAAAGGAGGCGGGCGGTGGGGGAGGGACTCCCAGCCTGAGCCTCATCAGCAGGAGCTGGAGTTAACGGCATCTAGTCCATGACGAAGGGGTGTGTTCGTTCTTCCAGGCACAGAAGGACAGCCGGAAGCGCCTGGTAAAGCGCCTGATGCGGACAACGCCCAGAAGAAGACAGAAGGCGAAGCCAAGCAGGTAAATGCCCTTCAGGGACTGAGCCGAGGGCGGTTCCCAGGCAGCTGTGACAGATCACCAGGCTTCCGCCAACCCAGCCGGCGCCTGCCGCCTCCCGATTCCAGCGCCATTCTCTCTGCAGAGCCCAGGGTGCCAGCTGCCTGTTGTGCGGCAGAGAGGCTGGGGAGAGGGGTAGACTTCAGAGGGCTTTGGGGAGCCAGTGGCTGGATGGGAAGCGGGGAGCGATAGAGTCCTGGTCATTGCTCGCGCCGGCATGACAAGCAGCCCTAGCCCCCACTCCAGCAGCTGGGAACTGTAGCACGGCTGAGCCACCGGCATGGCGGTAAGCCAGGATGTGGGTGATCCCCGGGCAGAGCAAACCCCGCTCGTTCCTCCTCTCCCACGTGTGGCAGGCGACTCCAGCTCTGTGTGCTTTGATCCTTACTGGCCTTTCTTGTGCAGCCGGATTCCAGCCACAGAGGGGAAGATCTGGTCCTAGATCTAGGGAACGTGAACGACTCCTACAACTTCAGCGTAAGTGTCGCCCGGCTGGATGGAGGAAGGGCCTTCCTGGAACAAGCCAACAGCTCGTGTTCTTCCCCTGTGTTCCCTCCCCCCTTGCCAGCTCAGACCTGTGGGCCCATCTGGCCTGGCATCCCCCCACCAGC